ATTACAAATGAACGCTGTTCATAATAATCTTTGCAAGTTTCACCTAGATTTATTCTTGACTTCTGTGTGGAACACAGTTTGATAAGGAGGACTAGAAGATGGATATGTGGGGGGGGGGACTATGACTTTACAAAAGTAGTGCAGGGCTTTCGATTATCATGCATTTAGATACAACTACTGTTAAATGAGTAAGTCTATAAGGGTTGATTAGTCGTAAATTATGGTGATTTTTTAGGTACTTTCCTGTCGAATTCGAAACTCTCCCTTAGTAAAATATGATACACAGCCACTTAGATGAATTTTTGTATCGAGACTGGTTTTACATGTCTGTAGACACTCCTATGAGTTGCTGGGACCGATGTTTACAGCATATTAGGGATATATACCCTGTATAATTCGTTTTTGTTACATGTATATTATAAATACATTTTTTGTAGATTAAATACCAACTTTTCACCTAGAACCTGATTCGTTCGAGGTCGTCTGAAGTTGGTGTCTATTCTTTAGTCTTACCCAACTCCGTATCCCACTGATATAAAATAAGGCTGATGTAGTGCGTGAATATTGTATTTTACACAGTTAAGCATAAGTTTCATAAAAACTGTAACAGGTGAATACGTTTACAAAAATGATTTCATAAATTAATTTTGGGACACTGATTGGCTGGGACCATGTTGAATGATGTAGACGTACATTTGTAATAAAGGAATAAAGAAAACAGTTTAATACGTGGAAATAACGGTGAAGTAGGTAAAAACTTGAACATTTGTTCATTAAAACTGCCTCTTTTGATATAAAATCTTTTTTCCGAAGTCGTTGATGGCTTTGACTATTTCATCAAGTGTTTTCTTCTCATTGCACCCAAGTTCTAACTGTTTACGAGTGATGATATCTGAAAATGTGGTTAGAACACAAAATCCTGCTTATTAAAAGTCAACACACCAATTATACGTTTGGAAAATGTGTATTTGTGGACACCATTCTTGTCCGCAGTACCCTTGTAAGTCATCAGTCTTGACTGGCTTCTATCAAGGACTGCACCAAGCAAACGACACGTGGATGTTGTTGCGTCATTTTGCACCTTGAATAAACGTTGGCACATCTAAAACGCAATTATTAAGGGAAGCGAATTAAAATTCCTTACTATTTGTTCGAAATACTTCATGTGTTTCAGTTTTCGGTCGAAAATCTGCAGCATAGCCAATGATTTAACCGGTAGCTTCACATCATATTCGTAATCATCAATCATGCCTTCGACTGAGTAATCGGGAATTATTTTTTTCAACAAGATCACCAATCAACTGAAGCTTTAATCTCATATTTCTCCTTTAAACTGTGGATCGATGACACGCCTCTTTTTCAAATCAAACTGAAGCACAAAGGTATATTAAAAAAAGAGTAAAGTACCTATGAGGCGTTTAGGTTGATTCCCATCACTAACACTCTGTAATACTTCACCTTCAGTATCAATTGTAATAAACTTAAAATAGACATTGCACAATCAACACTTTACTGAATTACGACGCTAGGGGTGCACCAGGATGTATTTGAAATTGTGGCTTTTGAAGTTCACCTTGACAAAAAGAAGCATGTCATAATGAGTGTAATTATTATTTTTTTTTATTATTGTTCCCTTGGGTTCCTAGTGGAACATAGGGCTTCAACTGCACGTCTCCACTTGCTTCTGTTTTCTACTGTACTTTTCACCTGCGTCCATGTTAATCCACACTGTTTCAATTCCTGTTCACACGATCTCCTCAACGTCAACCTTGGACGTTCCGCTCGCCGCTTCCCTTTCGAGTTCCACTCGAGCGTTGGCCTGACACGCGATGTCACTCAACGGCCTCCTTAGCTAGTGTCCAATCCATCTCCATTTTCTCCTGCATATTTGTTGGGCGATTGCTTCTTGTTTTGTTTGTTCCCATAGTTTCAAGTTGGTGATTCTTTCCGGCCATCCGATCTTCAGTATAGAGCGAAGACAGTCGTTGATAAAGGTTTGCAACCTGTTGGAAATATTCTTTGTGACCCGCCAAGTTTCTGATCCGTATAGAAGAATTGACTGACTTGACGTTTGTGTAATAAAATAGTCTAACTTCATCCTCATAGAACTTACTATTGGATACATTTAGTTTATATTATTATAATCTAGCTGCAATTAGCTTTACTTGATGAAGTTCAGTTGTAAGTTTTCTTGCTCTACAAAAACATTATCCCACATCTCTTTCCACTTTCCCCTTGCTTCCTATATTTTCCCACACTGCCCATGTCTTCAGATCACAGTTGCTCTGCTTTTCCAAGTTTGTCCATGTCACTTTCGAAAATAGCCTACTTTTTCCCACTTTGGCCCATTTTCGAGCGAGAAACTGCCCACATTTTTACGCACATATCCCAGGTCGGGAAAACAAAATTCTCCAACTGGGATATATATGCGTCGAATAACGCATTGATAGCCTTATTAGTCGACAGATTCAAGGGACGAAAAGTTGACTATGTAAATCTGCATAGACTTTGCTAAATACAGGGGGAAAATATATAATTATCATTTAATTATTATATGATGACCACTAGTAGTCATACTTACCTTTACTGATCTGTACCACTGATTCTGGATAGGATGAATTAAAGTATAAGTATTTATTAGAGTGTGTCGGTTTCCTATAACTGCTAACTAGTATCTAACCTCCCACCATCTTGTTTTCGTTTTTGTTCTACAGTCTAGTATGGCCAACTCATCCTGTTCATTTTCCAACTCAAAAGTGAAATGGATTCCGTCTACCATTGAGTTTACATGTGTGAAAAAGGATAGATATGTTCAGGTTTCAACACAGTGATTGAACATTCTAAGACTCTTATATTCCCAGCTGTTCATTCGTACGTCTACTACTACTGTGGATAATTGTGATCCCATTCTTCCGTTTATATAGTTTATTTTGGAAATTTGAATACAGTGGAGATTAGACATAACTGAACATCTAATATTATTTTACCAGTAGAGGGCTTAGTCCTACTTTTGAGTTGGGTATCAATGGTCAGTTCATTCCTAACTGCCTCCAAGAAACCGGGTGGCATTGAAACCAATCAACCAACCAACCAAGTCTCTCAGAAATAAACTTTGTTTATTGGCTTAAGCACCTATCCGATAGATCCGATTAAGAAAAATAACAGAATTTACGAAATACCATACTTGTAATGACTGTGAGTGAGGTCAGTTAAATAGGCCAGTCAAACTAGTAGATCGGGGTCAGCTAAATTACTGGAAGATAAAAATTTAGCTAGACACCTAGAATGATTGACCGTACTAAGTAAAATGACCTAGAAAAAACAGAGTTCAGCTATTGCACTGCATTAACTTGCATGTAGTCGCAAAATAGGATGGATGGGACAGGATGAGAGTTTTAAAAAGTAATAAAGTTTGGTGGAATGAGAGAGAGAGAGTTTAATCACTGAAGCTTTGTTTATCGACTCAACACCGCATACGTGTAATCGGAGTGACTCGACTCCTATTTTGGAGATATAAAATGTGGCATCAAACAACAAGGCGAGCTTGAAGAGACAGGAAGAGAGAAAACATGTACAAGGCAAATTGAGGAACTGTGTGACTAAAATTGATATGATGATGAGTTTAGAACAACACATTTGAGCTAACAAATATTGTGATTTCAATTAGATCTCATCAACAGGCTTAACTCTAATACTCCTACATAACTTAACAAATAAAATTTCAAATATACACCACCAGTCGCGGTGTTTTGTCTATAGGATAATACGATGGTGAATATAAATTGTGCAATTAGTCATAATAGTAGTAATAATAATAGTAATAATAAAAATGGTCTTATCAATAATAAGGATGAAAAAGTGAGGCAATCTGTGATAACACGAATAATGAAAAACAGCATGATTAAACAAACAAATGTTCAGGTGGAAGTAGTCGATAAAGGCTAGTAAAAACAAATGAACCGATTAAGTAATGCTAGATTGTAAGGGAAGTAAATGAAATACGTTTTTAATGAAGATGTGATAAGAATGAGGGATGATAAGAAGGGTTGAAAATATAAACAAAGGGTGGTGTAGAAGTCATTAGTTGGTTATATCTTAATAGGTCAAGAAAGGGATAATGGCTGTACGAACTTCTTTTGAATGCATAGTTTAGGTTTAATAGTTCGAATGCCTATCGCCTCAGCTGTGTACGTGCAGTAGACGAATATGAAGTCTATTGGAAAGATTCGGTGGGATACGATGAATTACTTTGATGAAGGCTCTCGTTTTCTCGATTACATGACCACTATCAATTAAGTGTGACAAAAAATGGAGCTATGGATTGCTTTTGTGCCTGTCCTTTGCCAAACCACGGCGGGAGATGTTCACTAACACGTTGACTAAGCTGTCTAGTAGTACGCCCAATATAATTGTCACCGCAGATGCAGTTGAATTGATAAATACACATAGATGTGGCAGAACTATCATGCTTACCCTTCGTTTGCGTCCCAATCATTCGTCGGCTAGAGAATGACAAACATAGGTGTGCTGCATAAGATGCTCTTCGTATACTCTTTGGAAGTCTTTGGAATAGAATCTCACTTGATAAGTCACCATTAAATTGTAATGAGTGGCAATAATTCATGCTCGAAACCTTGTCATCCAGTTGTTAATAATACTGCATCATCACTGTGTGAGATATTTAAAATAAACTTTTCTAATGTATTCTTTATTTCGTTTTATTCATGTACTGATCTGATTTATTGCATATGAATTTGTAAGGGTTCTATAGTTCGCTAACATCAGTTGAGCTCTAGTCAGCACGATAGTGTGGTCAGTTGGCATTTCGTTCTACTGTAAACTCTGTCTTATTCTAGAATTCTTGTATTTTTCAACAGATTTTTTTAAAATTTTGACTCATCTTTAGAATAACCTGATTAACTTCACTCTGATGATCATTATTTCAGTGAAAAAGTTATACACAATCTACTGAACTGCTGACAATTGAACACTGATTACAAATGGCGGCTGATTCGAATTCCCCATCTGAAGATGATATATTCCAGGATAAAGAAGAATTACTAAAAGAGGCGTATTCAAATTCAGTCAATGAAGTGAATATACTTTCTAAAGAATTATCAGACATGTAACTAACTAATCTTCTTCTTTATTAATATAAATTTGTTTTAATAGGCAGAAAGAATTATTGTACATTGAACATTTAATAGATGAACAAGAAATTCAAAATGTAAGCTTTACTCAAATGCATTTAAACAAAAAAATATTAGAATGAATATACTTTATACATTGATAAAAAGAGGGAGAAACAAATGAAAAATACAACAACATTAGAAGATTTTCATTTGTATACATTAGGCGAATTGAAAAAGGACAGAGAGGAGATGTTATCAGCTTATGCTAAAAAGAAATCCGGTAATTTGAATAAATTTCCTGTTTTATAATTTTGAATACCTTTCAGAATTACAAAATACATTAATACAAGAGAAAAAGCTGTTGAAAAGTTTCAAAGAAGAATTAGCATCAACTGCTGATATCCAGGTAAGAGGGTTATAGTAGGGTGAATATTCACATAATACTATCCACCAACCCTTAAATACTTATTTGGTAAACTCTCGAAGCAACTGGGTTATACAAACATAAATCAAACAAGCCATGGATATTTTTAAATGCCTCCCTTTGCAGAGATTTGATTGATTTCAGAGTTGATCACAAATTGACCTTAGAAAATGACAGTTGTTTCGTCCCTATTTGGGACCCCTCATCGGTGGGTACCATGACCCCACCAGAGATTGAACCCGGGACCTTTAGATTACGAAGCTTTCTGTGATGGGATCATGGTTGATTACTGGTCAATAGCCCCAAATAGGGACGAAATTGCTGTCCAGTACTCCTTGGCTTTCAGTGGTTCTCGAACTCAGGTCAGTTTATGGTCAGTCTTGAAGTTCACGAATAGACTGTTATTTCAGTCAACCCTGGAAATGTTCAAAGAATAGTATAAAGAATCGCCAAGTGTTGAGGATACTAGACTGCATATACACAGCTTAACCAGTTTACTTAAACAGTGCATTTATTATTATTATTATTGATTCCTTTAATTCCTAGAGGAACATAGGGCTTCAGCTGCCAACGTTTTCACCTGGCTCCACCTCTGCCCACATTCTTTCATATCCTATTCGCATGACCTTCTCCTCCATGTTACCCTCACACTGACAACCAACTAACTCCCCACTTCCCATTCGGGTCCCACTCGACCGATGGCCTGGCGTGCGATGTCACTCACTTGATGGTTTGTTTTCTCAGAGTATTGCCAATCCGCCTCCACTTCTTCCTGAAGATTTGTTGCACAATTGGTCCCTGCTGGGTCATTTCGCTCCAAGAGATCCCTGTTGCTAATCTTTCCTGGCCGGCCATCTGATCTTGAGTAGTATATTGAGTGAAGACAGCTGTTGATGAAAGTCTGTAGTTTGTTTAAAGTGCCATTCTTGACACACCAATCTCTGATCCGTATAGTAAGTAACACTGACTTCACACTGAAGTTGAAAGTCCGTATCTTATTTTTCATGCTGAATAGGGCTGTTGACCTCCACACAGACTTGAGAGAAATGCAAGCTTGCCTTGCTTTCCCGATTTTCGCTTTGATATCCTCGTCAGTTCCGCCTGTACATTAAGTTAAATGTTTGGTGGTTGTTAGGACGAGCGTTTCGTCCTATTTTAGACTCATCAACCTCACCTTAGTCAGTAGTTGTATCCCCACTAAGTCTTCAATCCAGTAACCATTGCTTCAAACGACACAGCTTTATCCACTTGGCGATTAGGTTACGAGAGTCGACTGTTATGCAACGGGTATTCATTTGAAGTTATTTTATTAAAGTGGAGAGTAACTTCGACTCCTTAATCCAGGTGATTTTTTTTTATTATAGCTTGATTCCATACAGTATTTTTGGTACAAGTATGGAATTTTCAGTATGTGATATCGGTAGCCAAAATTTAGCAGACCGACGACTGATATCAGGTGTGTGTCGGCTGGGGATCGAACCCCAGATCATGTGCATAGCCGGTGTTCGTCCCTACCGCTGTGCCATCGAAATGCATCCGTTAAATGAAGTCATATATCACAATGAAGAGGATCAGTGTGATCAGATATATCATCAAGAAATCAGAGACATGATTAAAGTATGAGTCTAAAATACTCTAATTCACTAATAACTGACGGTCGATACCTACACTGTCTCCGTTACAACATAAAACTGATACTTCCACGCATTAATTACATGAAGTTCCCGTCTATGAAAGGCGAAAAATCAAATCTTCATTCAAAGTAAGCTTAGTGGACCAAAGACAATTAAAGCGTCTATTTTCTCATTCCTGTCGTTCCGAGTAGAACATTGGGCTTCAAGCTTGAAACCCTGAAGGTGGCGTTGCTAGCCTCACAATCAACTCTCCTTCTTTTCCGGGCTAGTAAGCCAGGTGTGTGTGTATGTCAACCGAAAGTCAAACTTTGGACCACAGACGTGGGTGTTGATCATTGTATAAGTGAACCACCAAGGCACATTCACAATCTTTTGTCGAAAGCGTATTAAGTTTTTCTTTTCTCTCCAGATTCTTATCCAGCGTAGAAGACAAAGATTTAGTTTCCAAGAGTTTTGATTTGTTTTTATGAGTTTGACTACGGAGGATTGATATCATTTAGAGAACCATCGAAAGCCACCACTGGGGTATTGGACAGCCAGGGTTCCAACCCAGGAACTTCCGGTTACAAGGCAAGGTAGCTCGTAGACCATTCGGCCACCGGGACCCGCCAATTCAATGGCCATCCAATGGATTCTAACTTCTACCAATTCGTGATTTAGGCGCGACTGGCACCAACCAATGTCATCGGTGGGAAATCCGTCCTCACACTTGACTGGTTGGACCTCACTTGTGACGACTTCTTACTAGAACACCAGGAAACTTCGTTCTACAGCGAGTCACTAGAGAGCATCAGATTAATTTTGAAGAGTCGGTTTGTAAGGATTTGATCTGTTTTTACAAGTTTGACTACAGATCGATATAGGGACGGAACCACTGGAGAGCTGTTTCGTCCTAGTTTCCAACACACCTACAACAAACCAACTCTTGAAAACTAGTCCGATGATCACTAGTGACTACCTACAGGACGAAGTTTCCTGAAGTTAGTTCTAGTGAGAAGTCGTAACCTGTGGAGTCCATCCGGTCGGCAGTGAGGATAAATACTCGCCAGTGATGACACATTGGCTGGTGCCTCCAGTCGCGCTAAAATCACGAACTGGTAGAAGTTAGAATTCATGGGCCTGCGATTGAATTGGGTCCCAGTGGCTGAATAGTATACGAGCTAACTCGCCTTGTAACCGGATGGTCCTGGGTTCGAACCCTGGCAGTGGGGTGGGTGCGTACTGCCGATGATTCCCAAACTAGGCCGATGAAACAGCTGTCCAGTACTCCATGTGGCTGGTTTTCAATGGTTCTGTAAATGATATCAATCCCCCGTCAAACTCGTAAAAAGAAAAAGATTTAGTTGTAAACTTCCCTAACTATCTATCATCTTGTCTGTCATCCTGGATATTATCTGATCGATAAATCGTTCGTAGAGAGAGAAAAAAAAAGTACAGAACAAGAAGCTAAGGAAAGATTTCTTCTTGACGACGTCATCCTCAAAAGCTGTACAATCGCATTTTTATACATAAGTTTACAAAGTTATAATTATTATTATTATTATTGAACCGAACATAATAACAAAGGGAGATTAAAAATGGTTATAATTTTCCACTTGATATGAAAGTTTAAAGGTATGAATGCAGATCACATGGGGGCGTAGAAACAAAATTACACAGGACCCAAAAATAGTTGCGGAATATGTAAAATAGTTTTTTACGAAGATTAGCTGCTGCTGCTGGATTCAACATAGAACTTGGCACCGAAGTGCAGCAGTTCGAGTTGCCACGTTCCAAATAGCACACAAAGGTAGACAAGAAAATGAGTGAAGAGAATCAATAGAATTTTGACAAGTATAAGAGTGAAACAGAATGAGTAATGGTAGAAAGGAATATGAAAGATTAAAGAGACTGAATACATCTGCGTAAGCCGTTGACAACGATTTTGAGCCATGTCACCTATTGTCTCCAGCCATTGATTCTTAGAGTCCCGAGGGCGGGCCCCAACCCGGAAGTCTGCATCTCCCTACCTGACTCAGTTTAACTGTCAAGGATTTCATGGATTGACGCCATGTTTTTGTTTGGCCACCACTTACTCTTTTCCAACCTGCACCTATATCAGCTAGTAATGCCCGTCGGGGGAGGCGATGATTAGGCATGCGCAGCACGTGACCTAGCCATCTCAATCTATGTAACTTTATAGCCTCTTCGATTGATTTTCCCTCTTTGCCCAACACTCTACGCCTAACGTCAACATTACTTACCTTATTATACCACCTAACGTGAGAAAGAGATCGTAAACATCTGTGGTCAAAAACAGACAATCTTTTCATGTCTTCCGCTCTCAATGGCCACGTCTCACAGCCATAGGGAAGGACGGAGCGAACTGCTGAGTGTGAAACAAAATGAAATGACAGTTTTTATAAATGAATATGGGGAAATGAAGGGAATGAAGGGAAAAGCAAACGAACGAAAACTAAAGCGCCGAACAGAATTAGATCCAATGAATACATAGTCCTGGCTTCTCAATACTGCATATGGCGAGGGCTTCCGCAGTAGAAAGAAGTCGGAAACACACTGCCTTTGGTAGATTGTTGTTCAGTTTGTAAATGACTCTGAATGACAAGTCAGTTGAGATGCTGTGACAAGTGCTGGTGGGGTATTCAATTATAGCGCTTCTGATTGAACCAGTGTCGCCTCTTTGCAGCCATGCTTTGAAAGGAGGCGCATAGAACCACCTACCTACTTAGCTCCATAGGAGCAGGTGAGTTGATATATACACATGGGAGTGGTTATATATTAGGAAGTTTGTTCTCCACATTGCTTAGAAGCAGTGGGCAGCTAGGGAATATCACTGTCTCTGAGGGAAAGATCTTCTTTAAGGGAACTAGGGATTTTCCTTTTTAGGATATCTGTCGCCGATTCTCATATACAGTATTTTTTATGGCATTGAATAGCATTCTTCTCTCTTTAGCTATGGTTTCATGTTACTCTCTACAAGCTACGTCGACGGTCCATTTTCAGCCAGGATCTTTTTGAGAAATAAGAGGTCTTCTTACAAAAAACCTAAATGATGAAATGAAACAGATAGAAGAAGTGTCGGTGTCAAATAACTATCCTATGAAATTCATTAGGAATATCAAAAAAGGTCAGAAGCAAAATAAAAATAATGGTGAAACCAATAATAATAACACAAATAAGAAAGAATATAAGGCATCTAGAGTAGTTTTACTGTATAAGGAGGGGACATCTGAGACCCTACGTAGGATTCTTAATAAAGCAGGAATTAGGGTGGCATTCAAACCTACAAACTCACTCAGAAACAAGCTTTGTAGATTAAGGGACCCTGTAGCTTGATCCAATTAGACAAAATAATATAATTTACAAAATACCTTCGAATGACTGTGGGTTAAGTCAACTACATAGGTCAAACTAGTAGATCAGGAGTAGTGAGATTATCAGAACATAAGAATTTAGCTAAGGTTAGAATGATTGACCCCACACACGAAGATAAGTAATTTAGAAAAAAGTTCAGCGATTGCACTGCATGCATTAACACACAACCACACAATAGGATGGGACAGAGTTAAATTTCTAAAAAGTAATATAGGTAGGTGGAGAAGAGAGAGAGGTTGATTATTGAATCCTGGATCGTATCTACACCCAACACGTGCAATAGGCATGACTCATCACTCATACCCGAAATATGGAAAATATTACTACCAATCAAATCAAAAGATGAGAAATAATGGAATCATATAAACGAAGTTGGAAAGTTGTGTGAGTGACCTGATATAATTATGAGCTGCAGTAATAAATTGGGGTGCTCGAAAAGTGGTTATCAGTAAATATTAGTGTGGTCTTAATTTCTCTTTCTGTCTCTCTAAGTTTAAGTCAAGACACGAAATGTAACAAGATGGGATACGAAGTAATACTATCGATAGGCTTATAGGATAAACTTTGACTGTGAATGAATTGATTCACCCGATACGTCACAAGTGTGACCACCGATTGATGTCAGTTAGAGACCCACTGAAAACCAGAGAGTACTGGACAGTTGTTTGAAATGCACCAACGACCCCACTGGCAAGGATAAAACGCCGGAACTTCAGGTTACGAGGTCAAGTTCGTTGACCATTCAGTCATTTGAGCCAGAATTCAGCTGCTTGTGGATTCTAATTCTGTCATTTCGCGGTGATGTCAGCGTGACAACCAGCCAATGTCACCGGTGAGTACTTGTCATCCCACCACCTTGCCTAGTAGAACCTACTGATCACAACTTCTCACTCGAACTCCAGGCAAATTAACCCTGTAACCAATCCATGTTTATCATCACATAAATTTTCAACAGTTAGTTTGTGAGCGATTTGATTTATTGCAAGGGTGACCAGAGACCAACGTGTGTTAGAAAACTATTGGAAACCATGGAGTCAGTGGCACAGCGGTAGAATGCTCGCCAACCACGCATGTGGTCCGGGGTTCGATTCCCAGCCGACGCACTCCTTTACTTCGCTAAGCCAGTAAGTAAAAGACTGGTAAAGAGGGAAGGTTGGGCATGAGACTGACTAGCAACCTCATCCCGTAAAATAATAAACACCACTGCTAGAGAAACTTCAGGCCTCTAGCATGAAACCCTGTGTTCCACTGGGGACGTAAAGGAAGAAAAAAAGGGCTGGGCAGCTCTTTCGTCCTAGTTTTGGGCATTTCAGCAGTAAGCGTCCACCTCCTCACAGTCAGGAATCTAACACGGGACCTTCAAGTTACGAGGTCAAGTTCGTTAAGCATTTGGGTTGGGAATTTAATTACCCGTAAATTCCAACTTTCATTTACTCTCTTCTACTGCTTTTTTTAAAAATATTATTTAGTTAATACGTCAAAAACAAGAGGCTGAAATTGAAAGATTAGAAAAAGAGATTCGCGCGACACGTGCTCAACAATCGGAACAATTGAAAGAGTTGAAAGCTCAATCTATTATGAAACAAAAACAATTAGATGAAGAAACGAAACACATCTTGGATGAAATAGTTAAGGAATCTAAAAAGGTATTGATTGAAAGCAATTTGTATTTCATAACTAACTATTATTACGTTATTATTATTATTATTATTATTTGCTCCAAGTGGAGCGTGGGGCTTCAGAGGAACATTCGAATTGTACTCGTTCTCTTGCTGTCACTTTCAGCTGGCTACACCACTGTTCACAGGCTTCTGTTTTATTTTCTGTTCCATCTCATCCTTAGACGTCTAACCCGTTCTTTCCATTAGACATCCATTTGAAGGCCTGGCTGGCAAGTGATGTCACTCAGCTGTCGATATCTTTATTTCCTTTTGTATAGTTATTGAGTGATAAGCTCTTGGTAAGTTGGTTGGAGGATGTCATCATGAGCTGACATCAGTTAGAAAAGCATTGGAAAACCTAGACAGCCAGCTGTTTCGTCAGCTAGTTTGGGACTCTTCATCAGTACGCACCCGCCGACTGGGTTCGAACCCAGGACCTTCTGGTTACAAGGCGAGCTAGCTCGTAGACCATTAAGCCACTGGGACCCAACCAATCTAATGGCCAGCCCATGAATTTCAACTTCTGCCAATTCACGCACGACATAGCGTGACCACTTCTCAGTATCTTCTTCGACGAGTTACTGCCTTACCCTCAACCTGCTTCTGCTTGGTAACCTCACTGCATTGTGTGAATTTCTTGTTGTTTATCATTTCTGGTAGGCCATCAGCATCGATGGAAGACGGTTATTGATGAAAGTAGCCTGTTGGAGGTGTTTTTGGTGATGTGAGCACCAAGCCCCTGAACAGTACAGAAACAATTCAAAAACTGGATCTTCTATGTTGTGCTCAATACTGTGGATCTTCACAAGGATTTCTCCCACTGATGAGGACTAGTTTTCATTTTTTTTGGTCAGGTTTCTACATCACATCTGTCTTATTTATGTCCAAACAAAGCAAGAACTACAGCTTTAGCAGAATAAAGTGGTACCATCTTTTGTTTCGTTGCCTTCTCATCATCTGCTTACACGCCACAGTCATTATTAGATATATCTACAAAAACAATTTTAACATACTTGCACAGAGTTCATTTTAAACAAAAATCAATCGATCAATATATGCACACAGTAATAATATATACATATATATATGTAATATTAAACACTATTCCGAACAATAATAATCATACACAATGGAAACTTTTCAGCATTTCACATTCAGATGAAAAAGTTTCCAGTTACCAAGGCAAAGAAAGACTGATAACTGCTTCTTTCTAAACGCACAAATCAGGTTTCAGGCGCTTGATGGAAATGGCTCCAGCAAACTTGAGGAGAATTGAGCTCTTTCGCCTATTGATAATTTTGAACGACTTTTCAACGTCCACCCCATGACCTGTGTCAAGGAGATGCCTGGCGATGGCACTGTTTAAGGCATTTCTTCCTTTTAAACGTAAGTTTTTTGGTACATGTTCAGAAAATCGTAGATGTGCCCTTCTTTCTGTTCTTCCAATGTAACTGCTCCCGCAGATGCATGTAAATTTCTATATACAGTAGGAGTTGTTAACATGAGAAGGATATCTATCGATTTTTGAGTGTACCAAAGAGAAAGTTGTTCGATAGACGGGAACGAGCTTAGCTGCAGGATAGGCCGTGGCTAGTGATATACTCAGCCTTCTGTTGATCATCGCTGCAATGTTTTCACCTTTATAATCAAGCTGAATGTGGATTGGCTTTTTACCCACTGTGGTTTGTTTTACATTTGTGACTTCAGATCTTCCATACTTGTTGATGAACCTTTGAGGGTACCCATTGTTCCTCTTGAAGTTCTGTCTTTGCAACGTCTGCTGCCAATTTGTTGGACAATAGAATCTTGGCTAGTCTCCTGCTGACCATCGAATCTTCAGTAATGAGCGAATTCATCCGTTGTTGAAACAGTATAAAACTAGCGGAGCTTCATTTAAATATTACAAAAAAATAAAACTAAAATTATGATATTTGTTAAGCGTCATTGTATATATATAATCCAGAAACAATTATTGATTCGCTGACCTCTATCAAAATTGTCGTAGTGCACATGGTTTGTCTCAGAAGATCTGTTTCGTTTTCTCAAGGTGCTATTAAGAAGACGGTTGCAGAGAAGAAAATTCACTTTTCGACGAAGTCATCAACTAGGAGGCTGTGCGTTCGTGTACTTATTGATGTGACTTACTTTTCATGATGGCCACGATAGGAACAACGGTTGTACATATTTCTTTTGAATGCGTAGTGTGGGTTTGAGCCTTGGGATCGCCAATGCCTCAGCTATTATTGGTTGCTTTGATTTCAGTCCCCTTGCGATAGAGGTTTGATCAGATCTTGTATGTGACTTTGAAGGACTTTTCATCGGATGAAGCTGAGTGTCCTGAATTCACCAGATTTTTTGTCACCGAAATGCATACACCACCCTTGTATTCTCACTTTTCTAACCATGCTGAATATTAGAACAAAACTACACCAAAATGATGGATATTGTTCCCGAGCGCGTTTTACAAGCGTACGACCAATGTACTCGTCTCCACGGGAAGGAGTAAGTGAACTGGCATGTGCATGCTGAAGTGATCCGGTGCGGCAGCTAGTCCCTCACGTGCTGGTGGAATACTTTCTTGCAGGGAAATTTTACTCATAGGCTGGCGGTGAAGTATGTTTTACTGAGAGACTTCGATAGCCGTCTTCGGAGAAGTTCTGCTTCGGAATTACTTATAAATTCGACGTTGAGTATCAGCATTTTTCTGGGGGCAACTTTGACCTTATCAGGCGTTTTCGTAAGTGCTAGATACTTGATCATGTATCTGGATGGCAGACCATTTTCTACCAGAGTCCCTGGGAGATTTCGCAATTCTTCGTCAGTTAACTCCTCAGTGCATAGTTTCCGGATCCTCGAGGAAGGAGAGTATATTAGGTTTCTCTTTCTGACTAGAGGCAGATAACTTTGTGGATAAAATTTGTTTTGATAAAGTCTAACAGTGTTATACAGTAATGCTTACTGATGACGTTTCGAGCATAATTTATTGCTCATAATCATATCAAGGTGATAACTTTGGAAGTTGATAAACTGTCCGTTGTATGTGGGCTTTTTGTAGATGGATGTTCTCAGTGAGTTGTCAGCGTTCCTTCGTATCTGAACATCGAGGACACCAAACGTTGAGTAAAATTCAACTTCCAGAGTGAAGTCGATGTTTAGGTGGGCGTTATTGAGTGTTTGGAGTAATTTTTTAGATCACAATTGTCATCACTAATAATGAAAGTATCATCAATGTATCTCATGTAGAGATGGAATTCGTCGATAGTTGATGATAAGGAGTTTTCTTCTAGTCTAACCGTAAAGCAGTCAGCCAAGAGGGATCCTAGAGGAGAACCAATTGCTACTCCATCTATTTTCCTGTATGTTCCTTTGTTGAAACTAAAGTAAACATTATAGGTGCATCATAGTAACAGCTCTTTTATATAATGGATTGGTATACTGACGTCGATGCTATCGGATTGAATGAAATCATAAAGAGAACGTATGGTTTCTGTCAGTGAAACGTTGATGAAGAGAGAGAGATAGAGCGACGATATCTGCGGAGACGATTCTTTTATCTTCCAGGTTGACATTATCAATTGAATCAACAAACTCGAATGTGTCACGGAGGTTGTGTCTTGACAGCTTTTCAAAGGTGTTAATCAAAGACGAACATTGGAGAAGACTAAATTGATTTTATCAGTAACTGAAATTACTAAGAGAAACATCAGAGAGTTGCTTAATCTTAGATGTAAGAAAAAACAAGTCAAACTGGAAATCTGTAAAACTCCAACAACCTGTTGTAGAATTTCATCAACAGATGTCTTTTTTGGGTCTATACTGAAGATCGAATGGCCGGTCAGGAAGAACTGGCAACAATGAACTCTAACAACAAACTAACCAAGAGCCTATTGCCAAACAAATACACAGAAGGAAACGTAATGGAATCGGGCATACACTCAAGAAACTGCAAAGTGACATCGCATTGCAAGCGTCTTGAGTGGAATTAGAGCGGGAAACGATGAGCTGGACATTCGATAGTGAAATGGAGGAGATCGTGTGAGATAGAGGAAATGATAGTTTATGGACAACCCTGGAACCAACTGAAAAAGACTGCAAAGAGTGGAGTGAAGTTCTATGTCTTCCTCAGAAATGAAGGAAATAATAATAGGGATATGCAATTAATAGTGTTCTCTGAGCTGGTTGGTTTGGTTGTGGAGCTCTCATTGTCCTTCTGGACAACATCTTCAGCGCAGTATTTAGCATAAACTGAAATGACTTGAATTTCTTCATAAGTGATATAATTGCGTCTCCCAGTAACAATCTTTACATATGTATTGATAAGGGTTTAAATTTTCGGTAATATAATTTGTTTATTCGCCCTTAGTAATTGCACAAAATCCAAATAATTTCTCCACTTCCAAAGGTTTCAGACAAACTGATCACTGATTATGTCAGTAATATATCGAAAGAAAATGAAGAATTATACAAGAGTATTTTAAACAAACTAGAAGAGATCAAAAAGCTAGAGAAACAACGAGACGACTTACAGAAACAAAATGAAGAACTTCAACGAAATCAAATATATTCCAAGGTATAGAATAAAAATTTCCTATTTTTGATGTTTATTTGCAAACTACTTACAAATATGTAAGTAGTGTAATTAATCTTTGGTCAATATGAAAGAAGAGGCGTACTACGAAGAGCGCTTTTTTCTCTTCTTCAAGTTCCAACATGCTCAAAATGTACGATAGGAGAATGTTTCTAAAGGTGTAATATCAAAGTTTTAAGTCTTAGACAGTAATCAAAAGATTCTAATTTTGGTAGTATAGAAAAACTAATCAGGTAGAAACTAAAGTGAAATTTAGTATATTGATTGATGCAAAATTAGTTACATGGTTAAATAGAAATCATCTGAAATTGGAATAGTGAAAAAACTGAAAAATTACGAAAGACTGATTAGTGCACAAAGAATATTACTTGATGTGGGTCATGAGATGGAAATCACAAAATCCTTTAAAATTATCAATAGACAAGATAGCTCAATTCTCCTCAAGTTTGCCGAAGCAATGTGTCAACTAAACGCCTGAAACCCGATTTATGTGTTCAGAAAGAAGCAGTTAGCATCAGTCTTTCCTTGCCCTACCTGGAAACTGGATGTCTTCATTCTCTCTTTCATTTGATTACGTAATCATTGGCTTTAAGCTGACCCCCCCCCAAACTTGATTTAGTGTAATTTTGTTTGTCTGTTGTTTCTATGATTTGAGTTGAACTCAGTACATTGTTACCCAATTAATTAATCACTCATCATCTTATGCATCTCTCGTCTTTATTACGTAACTCCTTTATCACTGTATGCATACATTTGCTTTGTTTAAACATGAACTCCCTGTGTAAAAACTATATAAGCGTAATTTTCTGAGCACTGTTCACTAATTGCGAAACTTTCTGTTAACTGACATCATGAAAAAATTTGCAAGTACGTTAAAACTTTTCTACACACGACATTAATAATACACAAAATAATTGAGTAAAGAATATACTTTCCGATAAGTTCCTCTTCTGGCTCTACAATTATATATACATGTTCATATACATAGAATATTCTAGATTAGTAGTCAATAACAATATTAGTGTTCGGATTTTCGAACATCACCGTTCATAGGGATTAGGTAAAGGACAAACAAAATCCATCTTGTGGATAGAGAACACAACACTGATGTTAACGAGGCTGCTTTCAAAGTCATTTACCGCATACCAACAAATCTTAACTTTGCCCTAAGAGTTCGTCTACTACACATATTGCTGAGGCTGGTCGTTGGGATCCATATTAACAATTTATGTGTCCAAAAGAAGTTAATTCAGACATTATCCTTACCACCCTGGCTATCCAGGTTTGAACGATCCTAAATTTTGGTGGAATTTTCCTAATTTTAGTTGATATTCTATTTGATATTATATATTTATTATTATTATAATTTAAGCATCTTTAATAATTTGTAATTCCATCGTGATCTTACTTAAGAAATCGATGTTATTTAAAAAACACTGATATTGTTATTGACTACTATTCCAGAATATCCTGTGTATATGAACATGTTTGCATAATTGTAGAGCGAGAAGAGGAAATTATCTCAGAGGTTATTCTTTGCTCAATTATTTTGTGTTTCCTAGATGTCTGAATGAATATTTTTGCCAAATTACGAATTGTCGAATTTAGAATTCACGGGTCACTGACTTTCTGCTCAAGCAGGTGAATGGTACTCGAGGTTGCCTTGTAACCGTGGAAGATCCTGGGTTCGGTCGCCCGTAGATTCGTACTGATGAAGAGTCTCAAGCCAGAACGAAACAGCTGTCCAGTACTCTGTGGTTTCCCAATGGTTCTCTGACTGATATGAGCTCATGATGAAACCTGTAACTAATTTAAATCCCTGAAACCTACACTTGATGATAATTGTTTTATTATCTTGGACATATAACTATCTTTTCTTATTCATTTACGTTCCCGGTGGAATATAGGGGTTCAGGCCAGAGGCTTGAAGTTTTGGTA